TGTGAATGCCAGGCCAGTAAGTGGCAATGTCATGCGACTCCATCAAACGCAGGAACGATTTTGTACACGACGAACAGATTACGGATCCATCTCCGTATCGCCCCGACAAACTAAACACAGGATCACATTTCAACTACTGTGCTCGCAATGTAGCTTTAAGAGTCTTAATAGTGTTTGGATTGCTGCCTCTGTTCCACTTCTCAACCTCAATCTTTTAATTTAATCTTGGTTAACATGACCGTGCTCGAGCAATACATGGTATATGAAGATAAGCTCTAACTCGTGGCTTGAAAATCAATTGAGTTGTTGGGGTGGGGGGGAGGGGTGGGGGGCATCGTGCAGGCAGGAAACTCCACTGTATATATGGCCACTGTATCAAGCTTTAGAAGTTCCCCCTCATCTTTGGAAGCAGCGGGAAAAAGGTCGAGAGGGAATTCACTAGTAGACCAAGGAAATTGGGTGCAGCAGATGAAAGTCTCATCTAGTCGACTTTGCTTTGAAATGTGGGGATGTGGAGCTGCAGCACCAGCTCCCGACTGACAGAAGCCAATTACAGGCCAAAAAGCCATTCCTCCATGGTGGAATCAGATCGCAGCAACTCACCTATTCATAAAAAGACCCCAGAAAAAATTGGGCCGCACAAAAGAATGCCTCTGTGGATGGACTCTTTCGGGAGAGTGAAAAATTGCTACGTTGTGCGGTGGACACTGAATATGAACACAGAATACTTTGATTGACCCAGAATTGAATAACAACTAGCCTTAACATCTGTCCAGAGCCACTCAAAGAAGGACGAGGCATCAATGGCCGAGTTTCGCATCAGTGACTAAAGGGACGTTGCCCCACCAAATCCGTAAATCCGGCAGATGGCGGTGTAACAAAAAATATCTGTCAAGTCAAGACCACTATGTCATACATGTGACATATATTCATCACATTTTAAAGTGAATATATGTTGAAAATGTGACTTTTTTGTTGTTTGTAAACACATATTCACGTCTCTGGAGTACCTGCTCACCGTCAAGTGTCATATTTTACACCCAAGTAAATATTTTGGTTGGTTTCTGAAAATGCGCCTGTGAGTCATACATATACAAATACATATACATATACATATACATATATTAGTGCCAATATCTAACTTTTGTAGACTAGTGCAGAATGAATGGTGACAGTCAATATGGTGGCGCGGGGGAGGGGGGTGTAACATCATGTGCTGTGGCCAAAATCAATGCAACAAAACAGCTCAATACACAGCAGGGATGTGTTTGTCTTGTCTTAAAGAAAAAAGCTTGCCTCTCCTGTTGTGTTTGTGTGTCATTTGTACTCTCAACTGTGTCCAATATCAGCGTTACTATCATGATGATGAGATCACCTCAGGTAGGCACTCGCAAGTGCTTATAAACAAAACAGTCTGCGGCAGCACTGAGGGAAATTGCTAATAATGCCGTGTGATGTCATGAATGGCTCATCGTAGGATTGCAAAGGACCGTTCGGGTCAAAACTGTATCGAATTGCCATTTGTGGAGATGCATAACCCAAATATATGTAATGACATTCCTGGATTCAAGCTTTTAACCTCAAGACTGTGAGGCAGATGTGCTAACCACTCACCCGCCTTTATCATCAATACCTTATAACTTTTTTCTTTTTCCCAGAGACTTTGCGACTTTCTGACAGCACAGCCGTGAAACTTCGCGCCGCACCAACACAGACTGTTACTGGGTGTGACATCACACACGTCAGGGAAGTTGCTCAGCCTTGATGTTGAGGCCAACTCAGATGAGAGAGTTGATGCAAATGAGCCCATCACATCGACTGGCTGCACTGATCTTCCTGCTTCGCCATCTTCTGGTGTAACAGATTTTTAGATTTATTTATTTTATATTTACCAGGCACCCAAAATAGGACCGACCGGCTTTCAAAATGTCTGGCAAGGTGTTTACCAATAGCGATAAACAGACTAACTTTAAATATATTTTGAAACATTTATTTTATGGGCAGGCGCGGTAGGTAGTCAAGTGGTTAGTCCGTCGGCCTCACAGTGCAGGGCTACGGGGTTCCATTCCCGCTCTGACCTTTTCCTGTGTGGAGTTTGTATGTTCTCCCCGTGCCGGCGTGGGTTTTGTCCGGGTACTCTGGTTAAAAGTAAGGCATTTATTTGAGAAGAGGCCTGTATTTTCAAGATAATGCCAATTAACATTTTATTTTGTCATGTCACATCACTAAAGCCTAGTCAATCATCCTCGCAACTAGTTTCTTGCCCTGCCTCACCCTCTGACGTTGACTTTGGCCTGTTTTACTGCCACTGCCCTTCTCTCCTATTTCCTCCTTTCCGGCTCAGTAAAGGAGGGCTATGTGGCGATGAGTGAAGTGAACCTGTTGCTGTATTGATTCTGCATCGACTGACCAGGACTGCTCCCGAGAGAGGTAACTTTTAAGAAGTCATTGAGTACATCCAGGAGTGTTAAATGTCACATGATACATGAACATACATGAACACTTGGGCCTACTGCACAACTGCTTTTGAATGTTAATATTAATCATCAAGGTGGTACTCGGAGGAACAAGTTCTTTTTTTTTTTGGAAGGTGGTACTTTGCATAAAACGTTTGAGAACCACTGTAGAGTACTGCAGTACATCCAGGTGATATTCCAATTCACAGGATGGGAATCCTCCCATCAACGTTAACGCACGTGAGAGGTCTTAAGAGCGCACCGCAGTTGTCAGACTGGCATTTCGGGTAATGAATGGCATTTGGTTCTCACCATCGCTACATCTCAGCGTGATGTTGTTTTCCAGAGGCTCTAAAAGGCTCATTAGCATATTTCTATCCTAACTTTCAATTAGAAGGCTGTTATCATTTGACCTTAATTTTACATATGTGGCCCCAAACAGCGAGAGAGGAGTGATGCTCAGATGGCGAAATGGGAGCTCGCTGTCAAATGTCATATCAAGTCATCATCGACAGCGAGGCGAACAATGGAGACATTATGCAGGTTTTTGCCCTCCTTTATCTCAAGTCGAGATTCTCTGAGGAATTTGCCAAACATTATAAGCACTAGAAATTGTGCTGTAGTAAATTAAAAAAAAAAAAGCTCAACTGCTTCCTCCAGACACCTTTCAATGAATATTTCACACGGCAGTCAACCTGCTGACCTTACATTTGGAAGGCAAGCTGTCTCCTGAGGGTTTACTTGCGCAACATGCTGGGCGGGATGCAGCCCAGCTCGAACAGTGCATGATAATGCCACACTGATTTGAGCGCAGTTAGGAAGCTATAATCACCTCAACAGCATAATTCAGCATATTTTATATTTACGAGATGTAGAAGACGCAAAATTCAATTTCATTTTAATCCAAGGCAGTGATTCCCAACCTTAATTTAGCCAAGGTATATGCAGTGGTATCTCTACTTACGAAATTAATTGGTTCTGGAAGAAATTTCTTAACAAGAAATTTTGTAAGTACAGACGCGTTTTCCATGTAAATGCCCTAATCCGTTCCAAGCGCCCCCCAAAATTCAGACATAAATGTTTTCTAAAGCAGAAAAATGCATCAAAATGTGTAACAAATACATGTTACAATTAGATTATTGGAAAATAAATAAGAGTTTTGCATAATGTAAAAAACAAATAGAGTGAAGAATAACATTGATGGTCATTAAACTTTTAACTATGTCCTCATCGTTTTTTTGCCCTCTTTAGTTCATGTTCTCTCTCAGAAGTGGTTTTCGCCTGGCGTTTTGTAAAGAACAAATCCAAAATTTGCTTTTGTCGGCTTTTAATAATCCTTTGAAAATGTCCAAGGCAAATATTAACATAGTGAGCGAGCGCCCGACTGATGAACACTTTTTCCTGGGTGATTCACATTTACGTAAAACTTTCGGAACGCCTCATGGCCCGCCGCACGGACACATATTTATCAACACACATGCACACTTTTAGCCAATAGGATGCCAGAAAGATGCTAGGTAATAGCCAATGGCAGAGCAGCTAGAAGTATGCGTTCAGGAAACTCGAAGCTGCGAGTAGCAGCCCATACTGTATTTTTACCTTTCGTATCTTGAAATTTCTTACATAATAAGAGACAATATTTTCCTGTTGAGGCGTTATGTAACTTGAAATTTTCGTATGAAGAAACGTTCGTAAGTAGCGGTACCACTGTATTGTATTTTACATGAGGAAAATCTCATGTTCCGCCACCAAATGAAAATGTCACACAATATACATTGAAGAATTTGTGATCTTGTCTCATTTCATGTACCAATTTACTGACGAATGTTCTTTTTTTATGGCTCAAATAACGCAGGTGTGACACTGTGACTTCTCGCTTTGCGTGGCAACATCTTTCTTATTTCTATTTTCACTTCCTTGGAGTCCTATGACCTCCATGCTCATATCATCTGGTGACACTTGCTGCCACCTCCTCCTACGTATTCTGGCAACGGTCTGAAGTTAAATGTGGAAACACGCTTTGGCTCCTGATAAATTCTACCTTTGCCAAGGAGGTTTTTCCCATTCCACTGTTTTGTCAGGCTTTTGATTCATCTGATCTGTTTTTTGGCAGGATTACAAAAAAGTAGTTAGCCGCTTTGAGCATGTAGCTCAAACTTTTCGCCGTCCCTGGGCAACCACTCTATTTTACAGAAAATATAAAGTATGTGTGTGTGTGTGTGTGTGTGTGTGTGTGTGTGTGCGTGTGCGTGTGAGTGTGTGTGTGTGTGTGCGTGTGTGTGTGTGTGTGTGTGTGAGTTGGAGGGTAGGTCACAGTGGGTTGCTGCATTTGGAGCAATTCAAGCTAACACCGCCACTGCCTATTGTTCTTCCTCTAAAGTAAATCAAAATCTGCAGAGCAGCCAAGCAAATTTTTTTCCTCCTCTAAAATCCCAACACGCTGATTATGTCGATTTATCCTTGGCGCCGCAGCTATCTTGTAAGCCTCATCATCAATGATTAGCACCATCAAGGAAAACTCGTCCTATTCCTGCAAGTTTTGCTAATGCACGATTCCAATCTAAATCCATTCTGTCAAATTGCCGTTATAATTCACTGGTGATTCGATGACTTTTTACTGTTCAAAGTGCTGCGGTTCACTGCTCGGCAGGAGCCGTCGTCGTCACGCTTCTATTGTCTCCTAAATGTATGGCAAAGGTTAAAAGGATGTATGTCAATAAGCTACCAAAATAAAAGAAGCAACAGACTTTGGCCCCTGCGATGTGTGATCCATCGTCAAGTGGAGACGCTCTCCAGATGTGTAGCAGTGTGGTTGTATGCTCGGCCTCAGCGACCAATCAGGTTCTATCTGGTATGGGCCAATGGAGGCCAAGCAGTCGGGCAGGCTGGGTGTGCTGTGTTGGAGTTTCAACTTTGGACCCTACAAGAGCAGCTGAATGATTCAATAGAAAGTCTTCAACGGCAGAGCTTTTCCCCAAAACAGGATATTTTGACTGGGATTTTTTTTTTTTTTCGTTTTAGGGGGCCTCCTTGGTTTACCACCCGATCAGGGGAACTATGGAGCACTACCCTGATCAGGTAAATACTCGAGTTCAATGCAGTCAATATCATATTTGTTGGTGGGTTCTATCTGACAGTTACGATTAGTGTGTAAGAAAGAGCAAAGTCTATAGTTTAAATCTCTTTACTATGGGACACGGTATCGGCAATTGCGTTGTTTTCTCTCTGGGTACAATATACCATAAAATGTACAGATTGGCAAGGGTCATAAGTAGAGCGACGTTATGACGACTTTAATCTTGAAGTTAGATGAAGAGTCCAAATTGAAAGGATGGATTAAAACAGATTTATTACCGGGTACATGACTTACATCGGTACAGTTCCCCAAAAATTGACATTTCTAGAACTAATTCACTCACTGCTGACCACCCCATTAATATCGTTCAACTCATATTGTTGAGTGTCACTATACTTGTAAAGACTGAATTTTTGGTGATATGATTTGGATCAAAATATCGTCATCATTTGACCTTAAATTTTTAAAAAAAACCTCTCTGATCATTGAACCTAAAGCACTTGGATGATGTCATACTCTGCGATGTTAACGGTATCGTTGGCCAAGTAACATATCGCAATTCCATCTCTGCGACTACTACCGTAATAAACATGTTGTTCATTGCATATCTTTGTGGGAGTGTCAATCAAAACTGTGAGTCATTAAGTCTGCAAAGGGAGAATTTTCGATACAGATCTTATATTGGGTCTTTCGTGATATCCTTTGTTGGTGAAGTAACTGAACATTTCAAAATAATTTTTTTATTTTTTTTTTTTGAGCTCGTGTTCTGGTAAATCTTCAAATATCGTTCTGCCCTTGCGTTGGATTGCAAATGCGCAGCCCGTGACTTCATTCCTTTCATCTGAATTTACTTGCATGCACCTTTAAATACCCAACAACGATCACAAAAGTCTGTTTTGGCATTTCGTTTAGGAAGAATCATGATCAGTTGCAAAGCAGCAGCTGGGGCAACAGTGGTGATCTTTTGCAATGTCTTAGCGTGGCTTGAGAAAGCATGAAAGAGACAATTTTGTAAATGTCACGATGACAGCAGACGTACGATGGCACGGAGCTTCTCGATTGGCTGTTTGATCACACTGATGGAATCCTCCGGTACGAGGAAGCGGGACAACAAGGCCACCAGCAGCACCACTGGCCTGTGCAGGAACCAAATGTGCGTAAGGCCCGTCAATCATCCGCCGTGACACTTTTTCTTGTAGATCCATAATCATCTCAGCATGTTGTCCGATTTAAAAGACAAGAAAAACCAAAAGCACCTTCCACCCCAGCAGATGCTCCAGCTGGCGGAACAGGCGGACGCCGACTTCCTCAACGCCCTCCTGAGTGGAGGCGAATCAGTGTCGGACTCGCCGACCTGGTCCCCTTCGCCAAGCGACAGCGGTATCAGCGAGGACCCGCCTTCAGATCAAATGGATAGCCCCCAGCGACCCGAGAGTCCCTCCGGTGATGTTCATTGTTTGCGTCCGAGGTCACAGGCCAAAGCTGCCTTGGAGGCCCATGTGCCCATTAAACCTAGTAAGTCACAGATTGCTTCGTACAATATTAGCAATGAGGCTATTTAATCAAATGAATCCCCACGAATCGCCTCGCATAATCACGTCAATTGTAATGTTTTAAGTTGTTCATTTTTTTTTGTTTTGGTCCAATCACACCCCAGCCAATATGTGTTGCAATGACAACCTCATCTGCCCCCAATTCTCGAGTGCTGAAATACAAGAAAATGCAAAAGTCAAATCAAAACCACATTCCCCAAAACAAGGCAAAGCAATTTATTTCTTCCTCTGAAATGCCAACACATTATCATTATCCACAATTTCCATAAACAGACGCACTGTTATTGTCTCTTAACACTTTTTCGCTATGTGTATCATCATTTCGTTTTGTTTTGGTTTTTTCTCGTGTGTGTTTGTGAAGATGCCTGGAAGGGCGAATTCCCAGCGGAGAGGATGAAATATCCACAATATGCTTCTGACATGAACAGAGCGCCACCGTGCTCCGGCTCGGGTCTGACTGTTAAGGATCTGCTGCTGAGCGGCACCGCAGAGCCGGTAAGAGAGACAAAATGGAGAAGGCGATGGAATGCTTATCGGTGATAATAGGTTGCTCTGACTCATACGCCGTTTACATTTGCAAATAGAAATCTTGACTTTGAAGCTCTTGTTGACAGGATGAGTCAGCTCGACACTTGGCTTTGTGCGTAAAAACAAGGAGAGACATTGCGGCAACCATCATTTGGAGGCTTTAACGTCACTGCTCAATCAGTGTTGTCATTTACCTTTCAAAGTAATCTGATGACTGATCACCAATTAGTCCTTTAAAAACTAACTTGGTGACATTAATGATGATTTGCTTTTAAAAGTTGCAGTTGCTAGGGCTGGGCGATTATGAAAAAAAAAACAACATTGCGATCTTGAAATCACAATTATTAAAACCGATTATTCACTGATTTCCAAACCTATTAAATAACACTCTGCTACTCAAAACTACCATCACCCCCAAGTTTAAACATCTCTGAACATTGAACACTTTATTCTTGAGCAGTCAGGGCACAATAATGGCTTACCGCTGTGAAGGAATATCACTCCCGGAAGTCAATGCTAATCACCATGAGCATGTCAATGGGATTTTACATTCACTTTAGCATTAGCACTGGTGATCGTTCTAAAACCAAGCATATGTCTCATATGTAAATATACAAAGTGTGTCAAGAACACATGAAAAAGTTTGCAGTCTGCTTGTTTATTATTGGAATTATTTCAGTCCTTTTTATTTTAATTATTCAAACACAAGACCAGTCGGGAAACTTCAAGTATTGATCCAAGCTTTCCAGCACAGTTGATTACTGCGAGTGGCGGAATGCCGCTTGGCTTGTCACACTCTAATTTCTTGAGGGTTAGGGGAGGAATGAGAGTGGCCTGCTAATTGAACTAGTCCTTACGAGGCTGCAGGGAGATTGCAGGGAAGCTGTAATAGGCCAACGGCAGCAAGGAAATGTAATCAAGCGGCGGAGCTGCTGAATTACACATTTGCATTACTGCCTCACCTCCAGCCTCCGCAGCCATTCCAACAGTCCATCCAAGAGCTGATTCTCAATGAGGACGAGAAGAAACTCCTCGCCAAGGAGGGCGTGACTCTGCCCGGCCAACTGCCACTCACCAAGGTTCGTTATTACAGCGAAAGTGTTTCAACCGTTCGCAATCCCCCTTATCTCAGAATTTCTCCCTTTTCCAATCAGTACGAAGAAAGGATCCTGAAGAAAATACGCAGAAAGATTCGCAATAAGCAGTCAGCCCAGGAGAGCCGCAAAAAGAAGAAAGAGTACATTGATGGACTGGAGAGCAGGTAACATTTCCAATTACACATCACATTTACATTGCTGCGAGCATTTGAGCAGTAGCATCACTAAAATTCCATTGGGTCTTTCATTGCTTCTCAGTATTTGCCAATGTCCTGGGTTTGTTCATATCTCTGTAGTACGGTGGTGAGGCACTTCTCTTGTCAATACAGCTTCATCTTTGGAAGATAGCGGCAACTAAAGGCTGCCCATCAGCTATGCGGTTAGATTGCGCCTTCGGTCATTGTTTACGATTTCTTACTCATGATTGAGTTCAACTTGCAAACCAAATTACTGAAGATGAAGTCGTACTCTGATTGGCTGCTTTCACGCTCATTTCTACTGCATACTTAATCCAGTGGAAGATGGGGGTCGAGATGCAGATGAAGTCGCTGAGACTGACCACAGTAGGCTTTTGGCGAAAGGGATTCAAACGGACTACTTCAGGCATTGGAGGGATGATGGCTTGTGACAGAAACAGGTTGAAGGTTTTAGTGAATCAGGGCCAGTGGCTTTGCCGGGGTTCACCATCCTCAGCGTCTCTTTCATTTCTTGTTCCTGAAGTGTCGTTGTGGAATGAGGGTACTTGATAGTCGATCTGTTGACGGCCTGTGAGCCTTTAAGCAGTCAAAGAAACAACTGAGGCATTTCATCAGCCTTGACCGATGCTTACTTGTTGCCATTGGAACTGGTGATGTGGGTGACGCTCTGCAATCTTTTACTCACACGTCTCACAGTGTTGAGGTACAGTTTTACGATTGGTAGATTTCGTCTTGCGCTCATCATATCAAAATGTGATGGACATGATGAAGTGCTCTGCTTAGACACCATATCTAATTATATGGTGTGACTTCCGATTTTGAGCGCAGGGGTGCTCCCAGACTCAACTTCTATTTCTCTGTATGTTTTCAGGATGGCTACCTGCAGCGCACATAACCAAGAGCTGCAGCGGAAAGTGTCTCAGCTGGAGAAATGTAACATGTAAGAGATTTTAAAATGGGACTCCTATTTTGCGATCCATGTGTGAGGACTCAAGCTGTAATCCTAAAGGAGTCATCCACTTCACAACTGCTCCTACATCTTCCTTTGCCCGCCAGCCCTCATACAACCAATTTTTTTTTTTTCCGGCCTTGTCTTCTTTACGATTATTTTTTCATGAATTTGTCTCCACAGATCACTAATGGAACAGTTGCGCCGGCTCCAAGCTCTGGTCATGAATACATCGAACAAGCCGGCCCAGACTGGGACATGTGTGATGGTATGAACTCATATGCCAAGATGCAGAATTCCAAAAAAAAACTCATTCTGACAGTAAGCCAAAATGTGAATGAGCCAAATAAAGGCCAATCATGACATGACAATCTCAAGAGACATAAAAAAAAAAGCACAATCCTCAAATATAAAGGCTCCTTTTTTGAATGGAAGCCATGTTCGGTCTTTGATCAGCACCGTAGCACAGAGTACGCCACCCCAGGCTATGAGAAGGGAGGAATATTTTGAAATTTTCGCTTTAATGAATATGAATGTGTGTCAGAACCCAGTCGCTGAATACATTACCGTGACAACTGGGGAAGCACAGAAAGATCCACAAAATACACAACAAAGATCAGTCACGTCGCCACATGGCTGCTGTTGATTATTAGGGTGATTGATTCTGATTACGCTGTCATGAATCATTCACTAAATAAATAAATAAAAGGCTGGAGCCATGATTTGAAACCCAGACCTGTCAGACAGACGTGCAAACAGTTAGCCACCGTGTATCCTTCAGTAGAATAATTGACAGAGGTGGCGGAAGGTCCGTCAGTTCGTTGCTGGCACATTGCTAGCGAATGATGAGGCAACTTAAAAAAACTGACAGACAATGCACAAACGGAAGTGCGTTTTCACCAGAATCGTCACTAACCGGGTCATTCACTAACTGATTTAAACTAAACTAACTAAATTCTCTAACTGACGGACTGGTTAATGTTCCGAAAATAGCGGTGATGAATTATAATGTAGCTCAGTTAAAATAATGATGATGGATTGACGATGACAGATTTGATTGGCTTGAAATAATGACAGACTAACACTGACGGATGGATGGATCGGCTGATGGCGAATGACGGACCGGCGAAATTTACTGATGCGCCCACCTCTGCCGTGTTCAAAATTAGGGAGGTGTCAAAAGTTGTGGAAAAAAACCCAAGTCATCAGGTAGAGTAGAAATGCCTGGAAAATCACATTCAGTACAGTCGTAAACTATTTTTACTTGGTTATTTTGCACCAATGGAAAAAAGGAGGCTTCTTTTTGGAGGGAGGCATTCATTTGAGCATTCTTTCAGATGTTAAATTTGAATGCATTTTGTGTAACATATGCAAGAAGTGTTCTTTACCTCGCCCTCCGCATTCTCATCTACTTTTGACTTCTTTATCCCCACCCCCTTAGGTGCTCTTGCTGTCCTTCTCCCTAATCCTCTTCCCAAGCCTCAAGCCCTACGCTGACACCAAAGTCAGCCAAGGAGACTTCAGCCCAGTAAGAAGTGAGTAACCTTGAATGGCAAATAACTCCCAGTGTGCACCCACCTGACAACCAAGCCAAGTCCCCCTGTGAGTGGCAGCCACAAATCCACCACCAAGCACCTCCCAGAGTTTACTGTTAAAAGTGATATGTGGAAGTACAATGACCAATATTAACTTCTTTCTTATTTTTATTTATTGATTTAATTATTCAGTCATTATTATTGACTTCTGATTTTAAAACTAGTTATCCATCAATTTGTTGGACACTGTGTATGTACTATGTGGAGGTGATTAAACATTTGTATGGTTTCCCGAAATTCATAACGGCCCTCCAAGGGAAACCGTAACTACATTGTGGCCCGCGACAAAAAATGAGTTTGACATCCCTGATTTAGAGTGTTCCATTAACCCGCCATGCATGTTTTTGGAGTGTGGGAGTAAACCGGAGTACCCGGAGAAAACCCACACAAGCACGTGAGGAACATGCAAACTCCACACAGGAAAGCCCGAGCCGTAATCGAACTTACACCCTATGCAATGTGAGGCCGACGTGCTAACCAGTTGACCACCGGGCCGCCCAGGCGTTTTCATGTCATGACCAAAAAAAAAAAAAGTAGCAAATGATTCAGATCAGCTGTGGGGGGTGGTCTGCTACAACAGAGAATAAGGACCACACTACATCGTATATGTTGCCCTTGTTTTATGTGCAACCTAGTGTGCAGAGGGCAAAAATAAATCAAATTGAATAAAATTTTATGCATGTCCAGGATTTTCTTTTTACTATTCATGACTGAGGGAGAACTTGGCACGGACGTCAGATGCAGGTGTTTGGCTTTGAAGGCAATTTATACTCGGCTGCGCTCTCGATTCTTTATTAATGGTGTATAGTCATTGACTGATTACAAAATACATGTACTTGGTATGCAGGGGATGCTTGCTTAACGTGACGCCAGCCAATAAAGTAATAATCCGATTTTCCGCAGATGTGTGTCTCATGGTGGACTCTCTATTTTCTCACAGTCCAGTCACGGTCCCTGCAAAACATGCAGGCCTCCCGCGTGCTGCATGTCATCGATCCTCCGTTGCCCGCCCAAGACGAATCCAAGTCAGTGCATGCGCATTTCCCAGGAGATACGGGACTGGAAATCACCACCCTGATGGGGAACATGAAGCTGAACCAAGAATTGGACGCCATGTCTCTGAACCGCAGCCAGGAGGAAAGCCTGGGTCATTTCCACGTGGATCCCGTCACCGGCCACATAGCCACTGTGACTTTGGATCCGAAACACTCCGCCGGGTTCCCGCCGAACGCTGATGACATGTAGAAGAAGCTATAATTTCTTTGATCTGTCATCATTCTTTTCTTAGGGCTGTTTTTTTTAGTTTAATCATGTCTTGAAAATTCTGTTTCTGCAGTCCTGTTTGTGCGATGCTCTTTTTTTTATCCGTTTGTGCATTTTTGATTGTTCCACTCTAATTGTCTCTCAACTTGCATCATTTCGAGTCATAAGCAATACCGCCAGTGTGATCTCACAGGGCAATTTCTTAATTCCCTTTATTGTTGGGGATATGTTTCAGACTCATAGGCGAAAATCAGCAATATACAAAACATATAAAAACATTCTTTGTATACTTTCACACCTCCCAGATGCTTTAAACTTATTAAAACTCACTTTTTAAAGTATTCCTTTGCGCCTTTTCTTACGCTCGCTGGCACAGTTCTCCACATAAGCTGTTTGTCCTTCCAAGTTTACTGTAAAAATGACACAAAAGGAGAATTGAAGATACATTTTCACAAAAATGTTCAACCAAACCTTATATTTTTGTCCCGTGGAAGTACGCTATCTTAATGCTAGCATGTTATCAAGGAACTACTTTTCTTACACAGAGCAAGCAGCATCACATACAAACAATGACACGTATTACACTCCAGAGGGATCCCATTCTTCTTGCAGTTGACCTCAGTGCAGCACATCATGTTTCTGCATTGAAGAATTTGGACTTGCCTTTATGGAGCTTTGAAATTCAAGTGACCTGATTTACCGTAATTTACAATCCGCGATTCTGCTGATTTTTTGCTCTGTCTTGCACAGACAAACTCAATTCACCAGACTTTACAACAAGCAGCTTAGCAAACAGTGAACTATTTAGAATCACTTAAAAACATCATACAGTTTAATGCCACTCTCAGTTGAAATTTACTGTCAGACTCAACATAAAACAACCAGAATCACACATTTAAAACGGCCAAACGGACTGAAGAATGACTTTCTGTCTGTTTTTATAAAGTGCAATATTATGAAGTGCTATATTCCCTTTAGTTTCCCCTACCTATTAAAATACACGTTAAGACATATTTTGTTGAGGTTTTTTTTTGTTTTTTTTTTGGAATGGATTAATGCCATTTCCATTCATTTCAATGGGAAAAGATTATTTGGGATAAAGAATTGATTCAACTTGCAAGACAAAACTGTATTGTAAAAACCCACGATCGCTTAAAAAATCAAGATACATACGCAAATACATGTTTTTATGGATTGATCGGTGGACTAAAAAAAACTTTAAAAACGATAAGAGTCCAAATACGGTGCCAAGCATGGATTCATATTTTTTTTTAAGACTCCACACACCCTGACGTTCTTCTGCCTGCAACACTCTGGTATAAACAAGAAATCTCTGAAGGGGCAAATATGTCACCAGGGACAATAGAAAGGGAGAAAACTAGGCTAAAGGTTGAATAGACGACCCCTTATCGCTAGCCTTCATCCCCACTTATTGACATGTTGACATGTTTACTCATTGGAGAGGCTTGCGTCTGCAAGCGTGACCAAACAGCGGTGGCATAAAAGGGTTGTGGCTGCTCACTGGTTTGGAAATTTCGTTTTCAGGTCCTAAAGGAGAAAAAGAGTGTTAGGGTTGCATTGAAACGGAACAAAAAATTGTGACAAGTTATTGCAGAGCACAAGAAAGAGGGTCACATGCCAGCTGTGCTGTGGTCTGGTAAAAAGAAGTCAGATAAAATGTGAATTTAGGAATCAAGCTATAGTCTTGCATGAAAAAATGTCTTATAAGGAAAAATGAATAATATCCATCTGAATCAAAAAATTCTACCCCAGGTTTTCCGTGATTCTTCTGCAAGCCTGCGGAAAACGGCGGCACAGTCGCATTTGTGTATATCAGTAAACACAATGCGTCAGGTCAAGGTAAAAATCACACCCACTTGCGTTCAATAGAAGTTGTCTCCTATTGAAAAATCTGCGTTATTCACGCGATGCATCGGCAGCTGCAGGCTGCCGGGCAGAGACGAGGCCATTGTTCATCTGAGCAGCGCACTGAAATATTTCTCTGGTGAGGCAAAACGACCTGAGTTTGATGGATGTAGTGGGGGAAGATATGTTGTTATTATTATTTCAACCCTTTCAGGGACAGCGGTGACTGCAGTGGACAGTTTATCATGTTATCGGGTTACAGCAGCAGTCCCCAACCTTTTTTGCCCCACGCACCGGTTTCATGTCAAGACAATAATTTCAGGGACCGGCCTTGAAGGTGTGACAGATAAACACAACAAAATAATATCACCTGCATGAAAACTTTTCGAAACATAATAATAAACATGAATCATGACACGAGGGACGTCCTTATCTGGCCGCAACACTCTCTGGTCGCGATGGTAACGTTTAAACCTGCCTTCAAAATAAGATACAAAGTGCATGAAAAATAAGACTCACCATCGCCGCATATTATGCAGAGTGGGCATAATATATCTAAATATTTTAAGTAGGACTCCGGATATTGTCAATTAAATGTAGCCTTCTATTTCTTGGAAGTCGTTGGCTCCTCCTCTGCCTCCTGGCTGGGCCTTTTCCCCTCCCCAAAGAAACTTTCCAAAGACGTTTGTTTTTTACACGTATTGCTAGCTCCCGGGTTTCATTTCAGCGGTAACCTATCGCGTGACCGAGAAGCGTGCCTTGACCTGAATCAATAGTGACACACTACAGACGGATGTAATGGATATTCCGGTAAATTTTCAAAATAAAACATCTTTCAGATTCCGAAATGAATAAAACGAAAGTAATGTAAGTTATTTTTTTCTTTCTGTGCGGCCCGGTACCAAATGACCTACGGACCGATACCAGTCCACGGCCCGGGGGTTGGGGACCACTAGGTTACACGGTGCATGAATTTGATATATATTTCTAATTGTATGATTTAATTTTTCAATTTCCATTGCATGGCCCGAATAATCCTTCGCAGTTGACAGTGGTCATATTCCTGATAACACGTGCAACGCTTCTCCAAACCAAACAAGTAATATAGATTTCATCCAATTTAGCACGATGCTTTGCAGTGGAAGGCAATTTTCACAACAAAATGTTTGTATTGGGCCCCTTATTGCTTTAGTAATGATTCAGCGGGAGTGTGTCTAATCGTACATTTTCCACTCGGTGGTGAAAATAAATGCGGAGCGACGGAATCGATCAAGCAGATATTACGATCATCCACAGGTTAATGTCTCTATCTCTGCTCGACATCTCAGAATATTGTTCTTTCTTTGCTCGATCCACCCTTCGTCTTTCTGTTTTTGCCCGCTCCTTCCTCCCCAGGATGAGCTGTATAGCAAATTGAAGAATGTTTTTTTTTTTTCCCTTCTTTTCTAATCAGGGTGAAAATGTCTCGGCCACAAGCATGTTGATTCAGCGGGAGTGTGTCTAATCGTACGTTTTCCACTAGGTGGTGAAAATAAATGCGGAGCGACGGAACCGATCAAGCAGATATTACGATCATCCACAGGTGAATGTCTCTATCTCTGCTCGACATCTCAGAATATTGTTCTTTCTTTGCTCGATCCGCCCTTTGTCTTTCTGTCTTTGCCCGCTCCTTCCTCCCCAGGATGAGCTGTACAGCAAATTGAAGAATGTTTTTTTTTCCTTTCTTTTCTAATCAGGGTGAAAATGTCTCGGCCACAAGCATGTCCAATCAGGACCTTAACGCATCATTTTGATTAAGGAAATTCTCTGAGGACCCTCACGACACAGATGATCTTCCCCGGGGGTTGGGCGGGCCATTAGAGGAATTTTGTCCATCAAAGTCAAATGGCCAAATCCGCTCGTCTTTAATCTCCAAATGGGATTAAAGTTGCAAGGTTGAGACAGTGTAAATTTGACGCTTCCTCAAAAACAACATGCCTTTTCCAATTAGGCCGAGTCAAAGAGGGATTTGGAAAGACACTTAGATGGATGACGCCTGACAGAAGTGTGAAACTTTGTCACTATTTATGTTTTGCCCACAGGAGTACGGAGGTGTAGTGCAGTTTTTTTCCCCAAATTCTGAGCCAGGTCTTATATTTGCAATACCGCACACCAGCAGACAAAAACATCTCAAACCGGTGGTTCTCAAACTTTTTACACTAAGTCCCACCTGAAAAAAATGTTTAGCACTCTAAGTACCACCATTGAAATATAGTAGCATTAAAAAACATTTTAAAAAAAAGAAGAAACAAGCTTATCAATGGCATGAATGACTGACAATATTTTTCTCGGCAGACAGAGACTTTATTGCTAGACATTAAATCCAAAATTTGCCGTTCATTAAAATAGGAGCACAGTCACACACAAACGATTCATTGGGCAACATAAACACAATAAACAAACATTAACATTTAACAAAAATCAGCTTCTCTCATTAAGGCCTCACTGATTTGGTATGATTTTCTCAACATCCATCCATTTTCCGATTCAGCAGACAAAAACATCTCAAAAAGTACAAACCGGTGGTTCTCAAACTTTTTACACGAAGTCCCACCTGAAAAAAATGTTTAGCACTCTAAGTACCACCATTGAAATATAGTAGCATTAAAAAACATTTTAAAAAAAAGAAGAAACAAGCTTATCAATGGCATGAATGACTGACAATATTTTTCTCGGCAGACAGAGACTTTATTGCTAGACATTAAATCCGAAATTTGCCGTTCATTAAAATAGGAGCACAGTCACACACAAACGATTCATTGGGCAACATAAACACAATAAACAAACATTAACATTTAACAAAAATCAGCTTCTCTCATTAAGGCCTCACTGATTTGGTATGATTTTCTCAACATCCATCCATTTTCCGATCGCTTTATCCTCTCAAGAGTTCGCGGGGGGTGCTGGAGCCTATCGCAGCTGTCTTCGGGCAGTAGGCGGGGGACACCCTGAGCTGGGATCGAACCCACGACCTCTGCACTGTGAGGTCAACGTGCTAACCGCTGGCCCGCCAGGCCACTCGAGTTTTTGACACATTTAGTTTTAAAACCAGCTGAAGCACAAAGGACTGGTTGAGCCTGACCCACTTTTAGCAAGGCACAAAGTACCAATAACCAGATGGTAACAGCACTTTTTCATTGTTTAGCCTTTAGAGCGTCGCTGGTGTTGAAGATAATATTTTCAACCAATGGCATGGTACTGTTATAATCGGCGGCCCCAAACAGTACATCCAGAGGTTGACCCACAATCTTCGAACAGATTTTAATGAGGTGTCTTATGATCGCGCTTGATTGAGGAACCATAAGTCGGGATGCAGTGATGCGGGGTATCGTGAATTTAGCAATTTCACCCAAAAAAATAAATAAAAAGAACACACACAAAGGTCCTGGGGAAAAGAAAAAAAAAAAAAAAATAATACACCCACAACCGCAACTGC